AAAAATATTAATTTCGAGGAAAAGAACATTAATCGCGATTAGAACATTAATTAATAATGAACTGATGCACTACTAACTAAACAAAGTATTTTAATCGATTAACCCATTCTTCAATCGCACGCACTGAACGCAAGACATTTGTTAATTCTGGTATTCAACTTGAAAATTATTAACTAGATACATAACATCATAACTAAAATATATCTCTAAGAACACTAGTTTAAATGCGACGAAAGAGCATTAATTAATAATGAATTGATTTCACCACAAATTATTTTAATCAATTAATCCAGATTCCAATCGAATTGCACTGCAACACAAGAAATTTCCTAATTATGACATTCAACGTGAAAATTATGAAGTAGAAAATGGCAACATTCTTAAAAAATCTCTAAAACATTCATTTCAATGCGACGCAAGAACATTAATTAATAATGAAGGGAATCAAACAGAGTGTTTTTAATCGATTAATGGAACTCGATTCGACTAATTGCCTTCATAGCGCGTTCCCCTCTCTTCCTGATAATTCACCAGAAAAGCATTCGACGCAGATGTTTCGCTCAGTCACTCGATTAGGCAGAGTAGGAAAGCGGGAATTCTCGCAAATCCACATTTACGAATTTCAGGAGAAAAGCCTCCAATTCTCGGAAATCCACATTTATAAATTTCAGGAGAAAAGCCTCCAATTTATATTCCGAAAATACATTATCACACATAGAAACTAGAAATTATAATAAAAAAGTTTTTTTTTTAGCTCTTTAAAAGATTTGAAATAAAAATGGCATTTTTCTGAGAATTACTATTTATTGAAAGATTAAAGACGGAAAAAAAAAGAAACTTTTTAAGGCTCGAAAAAACGAATAACTAACTTGTAATTCAAAGGGAAACATAAGAAGATGACGGAACTATAATGGAAAGAGGATGCAGTTGGTGTTGATGGTCTAATTGGGTACTTGCAACTCGAGAAGAAGAAGATCAATGGCACACAGACACGTGACGTCAGCATATTGTTTATAAACAAGATAGCGTGTTAAAGTGGAGATAAGTTTTTCTACATAAGTTAGAATGTTATTTAACGTTAAGTAAATTAAATGCAATGCCGTAACGCACATCGAATTTGTTAAAAAGTAATTCTTTCTTGTCTACGTTTTACATAACTTAGATTTATTATTTATGTATGTATTTTATTGTAATAGTGATTATTTTAGTTCTGAGTATCTTTGTTTGTCTCTGTGTTAACTAAGAAATAAATAGTGAAAGAACAACGCAATAAACAAGATATTGCTTTTTAGACCTATTGGAAGAAGAAAGCGGGGAAGGCAGCGGTTGAGATGAGCTAATTCTGGATGGAGTCTGATTTTCTTGCAATTAGTGAAAATAATTGGAAATCAAAGATAAATCGTAAGTCGTTATGGAGAATTCTTCAGAGGAAGGCATTGCCCACATTGGGCTGTCTGGCCAACTATGATGATGAAGAATATAAAAAAAAATAATCTTTCAAACAAAGAACTGAACACCGGGTAAACTAAATAAAAAGTTTAAAACTATCTAAATTCTGGAAAATTAATAAAATAATAAAAATAAAAGTTTGCTTTATTTTATCCATAAGCCCAAAATAAATCTACGGTGGGGGGGGGGAATTCTGCACCAGATCCATGAGTGCAGTTACAGAGGGTGAAAAACAGACCTTATGGTTTCATTACAGCTCAGTGTGGGCCAGAAGACCATGATCTTTGACCAAAAGTCAAAAATTAAATTTTCAACTAAAATATGTGTAAGCAATTTTAATATAGCCCAAATTAAGTATTTATAATCATTCCAAAAATTATAATTTACTTTTTGGACCGACAAGAATACAATGTATTGAAAAATAGGTTAAAGTTTTTTTTTTTCAAAATGTAACTTTTAAATATTTATTTCAGAAATATATATAGGAATTTCACCTTACTGTTACATTTTTATCAGAGTAATTAGTCTGAAATTATAGAAAAATTTTTCAATTTGTTGGATTAGTTAATACTCTTGACAAAACTCATAGTTTATATCTTATCATTTGACATTTTACAAAGTTTGATGACCTTCGAAACTTAGTTCCCAAAAGTTCCAAGAAGTAATTAGCTAAACCTTTTTTATGTTCTCTTCTTCGATGTTTCTTCTTTCCAAAAAATTTGCCCCATTTTGCCCGTAATGCAAAGGTGGACTAAATATACCGAAAAACAAAAATTATGTTTTTTTTCTTCATGTTTTCGCGTTATTTTGTAACATTACTTCGAAAATGTGATTTGCTTTTCATTTTTAATATAAAATTACGAAAATTATTATACAGTCGAACACGTTTATAACGAGCACAAAGGGACCGTAACATGTACTCGTTAAATCAGAGTGCTCGTAATAAACGGGTCCTTAAGACAGTCGTGCAACCAGAAGAGGGGGGGGGGGCTTGGGAGGTCTAATGATTGAGTTTACTTAAAATTTAATTAATACTTACTTACTTTAAATACATTAATTAATTTAATTAAATACTTTTCCTAATTTAATGACAACTTACCCCCTTCCCTCGCGTTTCCTTATCATTTTGAAAAAAAAAATAAGACAGAAAGACTAGAAATATGAGAAAAAAGATTGCAAGACAGAAAAATATTGCTCGCTAAAACCGGGTCTTGCTCGTTAAAAGCGACTTCTGTTCCATAGACTTAACATTGATCCAACCAAAAATTCTCGTTTCTCTCGGTAAATCCAAGTTCTCGTTAAATCCGAGCTCGTTATAAACGAGTTGGACTGTATTTTCATTGCTATATTTAATTATTTAAAAGTACTATATTATTTTTTTTATTTTTGCTCGCCATAGTCGCCATTTTGCTTTTTTGGGGGTATTTTTAGTGTATTTCTAAATTTTAACTATGAATTCAATTTACCTGCACATAAAAAACCCTAAATAAAAACCCCCAAATTTTGGAACAAATTTTATCGAAATACTAATTTTGGTCACGAAACCTTGGATGCTGACCCACTCTGCAACTGATGGGTTAAATTAAAAGTGTAACAATGAAAATGCTTAAAAAAGAAATGCAAACATTATACATAGACAGCATGTAACAAAAAATTTATATTTAGATTTTTTTATCATTATCTTGTGTGCACATTCTTTTAGCTTTACCTTATTAAATAAGAACAGTCGTTGAAAACCGTTTTTTTTTTAAAGGTGAATTAATTTCATTTCTCGCTGGTTTTTACTGAAACAAATATAAAAAATACACGAACACAAAAAATTAAATTTATTTTAAATATTTAAAGCACCGTAAAGAGATTGAATACTTATCAAGTAGCAATCGATTCCAGCTATTTAATGCAGTACAAATTTATGGCGTCATTGCCTGACTCCTTAATTGAGGGTCACGACTTTACGAATCTTATTTTCTTCTTAACGCTTGAAACAAAGATTTTTATCAATAAAGAAAAAAGAAAAGTCAATTCCTTTTCTTTATGGCATCTTAATCTAAACGAGAGAGACAATAAAAATGCAAATATGCCAGAAAAGTTCTGTAAAGGCTATCGAAGAAATGATGAAAAAAAAAAGAATATTTTAGAAAATAAGAAGGTTGCTTAATTTATTTTTCTTCCATTCTATTTTTTTTCCCACGGAAACTGGAAAAAAATAATGACGAAAACAACGATTAAATGACACCGAAAAATTCAAAAACAAATATTAAGGTCATAATCCTTTTTTTTTAAAAATCTAAGATAATGAGAATAAAAAAGTTATAAAGGTAGAAAAATGTCGCAGTGTTTTTTTTTTAAAGAAAACATCATTTTTAAAGTAAAATTAGATTTTAACAAATAAAGTAGCTTATACTTTTTTCGTGGATTAAAATCTGAGTTTTCTATTTTTCTTAGATGATTCTTGGTACTATTTTTTCTTTCTTTTATAATTGCAACTGAATACTTTTTAAAACGAATGAAATTTGTGAACGAATTTAAAATAATTTAAACTTAAACTATTTGAATATCAATAAACTTAACCAAATTTCAAATCACATAAAAAACTAAGATTAAAATTTAAAAAAAATTCTATTCTCCATTGTAACCACGAAAAATTTTATGAAAGAAGTTTACTAATTACTAAGTAATATTTAAATATTTCAATTTTGTTCCATTGAAATAGGCCCTTTTAAACCAATTTACTAAATTTCAGAAATTAAGATTTTGGGTTTAAGGTTTTTAAACGTTTTCAAAATCATTATAATAGTGTTGAAAAAGATTTAAAACTACTAACTCCTTAAAATTAAAATTTGGTAGCTCGGTTTAATGGAACATGAATAAAAAAAAATGCTTAAAAATATGAATTAGTTATTTAATAAACAGTTTTGAAATGAAGTATTAAACAGTAAATGAAGTTATTTAAAAAATAACGTTCATTTAGTTCTCCGTAAGTAACTAAGAAGGTAGAGATCTTCTCAGTTACTTACCCTTAATTTTGCTTACAGACGCTTAATTTTGATTCAAGTAAATTAGATTTAGGTACTTGAAATAAACAGAGTCTTTAAATTTGTCACTTTTTATGCATATTTTTTGGGCATATTCTCGTAAGATCGGCTCACTCTTGGAACATTCGAAGTCTATAGCTTTAACAAAGCTGCTAGCACTCAAAGTACTCGACGTTCTAAAGATTTATCATTTTTTTTGGAAGCACTTTATGCTCTGAATTTCAGGGTTCAATGGGGACGGCCTTGTTTTTTTTTTGGGGGGGGGGAAGCTGTTAAGAAAAGACTAAGGACTGTGTATAAGAGAAATGTAGACCTCTTACCGTGAGAGGGTTTACAACAGCGTTAAAAATATCCTAATTTTCAATCTCATTTAATATTGCATCCGAATTTCAAATTGCCATCAAAACTGACCCTTTTTCGTCCCAGCAAATGTCTTATACATTAATATTACGCTCAGGTTTATTATTTGGAAGCTGTAAAGTAAATAAAGCTACAAAAATATTGTTAGTATTTTACCACAAAAGGGTATGTCGCAATGTTGCCAACGAACTCTTGGGTCCATAGTGTAACACCATGGCACCGGTTCTTCACCTCCTGCATTTCTACAATAATTCTCTGAATTAAGCACCTCTGGAAAGACTTTAGGAGGACGGTTGTGATGATGAGGTTCCTGCAATCAAAAATATTGATTTGATTCAAGCATAAAAGTTTTCTTTTTTAAGCAAATCTTAGAAGCTATTGGAAGAAAATATTTATTCCGCCTATGAAATTAAAAACTCTATATACAAAATACACAATGTATATTTGAAACAGTAGGAGAGTTCTGTAATGTGAAAACAATGGAACGCGCTTCGAATCGTTAAAACTATTGTCGTACGTAAAAAAAAGAAAAGAAAAAGCATAATAAGTTGTACATGTTATTGCAACCTTTTCGGTGAAATGAAAATTCGTATGAAATGTATGTGGGGAAAATTAAAATCTGATTGGTTGAATTTATGCAGACTGGTTGAATTCGATACAGTGGGAATGTTCCGTAAGCGTCACAAAATGATGAATCGGAAATGAATTTGTTATTGTCATACCTTTATTTTTAAAATTATTTGAAATATTGGAAAACAAATTACGACCAAATAAAGTATTATGAAGTAACGTTCTAACTATGAGCTGTGAACCAAGTGAAGGCTTTTAAATTGAAGCGATTAGAAACGCATTTGTTATTATTATTTGTTCGAATATTAAAAACAATAAAAGCATTAAATACTTAACATAAAAAATTTTTGTTTTATAATTTCCAAAAAAATCATTTTTATAATACAAAATAACAAAAAGAAAAGGAATTCGCACATTAATGGCTCTAAATTAAAATAAGGTATTTCTACGAATAAATATGTGCAGCCAACGAGTGAAAAACTAATTTATTAAGTTATTTCCATACTATATTATACATTTATTTCACAAATCCTGCAAATTAGAGGAATAGTGAACGTAAAAACAGGTCGACTACAAGCAGATTTGAAAATTTGTAATTCATGACATGACGGTAAATTTCCAAACAATTGCAACAGATTATAATAAATTACATATCACATATAAAATTGCAGAAAATGAGACATAAATTAGAGTACCTGCACATCCCATCTCTGGCATGGAATACCAGTTTTAGTGATATTCGCCGTTCCTTGGTAAAAGCGACCTCGTCCTCTAATGCAATCATCTAAACAAAAATAATAAAAGTGTTATTTATGAACACAAGTTGTAACACACTTCCTTTTAATCAAATACGTTGAACAAAATTAACTGCCTAAACTAAAGACACATAGTGAGAATTTATGCAGGATGACCCTTAGTCGACTGTCATATTTTAAACGTGAATATTGAGCACGGGCATTAACGGTACTTATTGGCTATAGTAGTGATTCCCAAAGTGGTCTATATCGATCTCCAGTGGTCGACGACAACCTGCAAGGGGTCCATGTCAAGTAAACAAAAAAATGAGGGTCCATGAAATAAAATGGAGCTCAACGATTGTGGATCTCATGTAAGCAGGTTGTGACTTTTAATTTTGGCATTTCATGACTGGAATAATCAACATACACTGATAGTACATATTTACCTACATTATAATAAATACATATATCTATCTACATAATTTATTAAAGTAGCTATGAAGTAAAACTTTAATTAAAATTTAAGTTATTAGGATTATTTTTTGATATATGAAACTGAATTATTATAAACTAGCAGTTGCCTGCAGCTACGCCCGCGTACGTTTTTATTTTCTCTGCGCGTAAGGTTTTGTTTTGTAACAAAAAAGTATTTTTTCACGGTAAATAGCCTAGTCTGTGTCAACTCTTTAGCTACCTAGACCTCCAACTTTATCTGCGTACAAGATCACGGAGATTTGTTGCTTAGTTTTTACGTGAAAACGTAATAAACAGATCGACAATATACTATTACGGTTTTGTATACAAACTTATTTCCGCAATTAGAATATTAGTAGTGGAGTACAAGTTTTATAGTGCACTATTTTATTCCATTTACATATTAAATTAAATTAGTATTTTTTTTGTTGAATTTAATTAATAAATGTATAGAATTAACATGTGTTTTTTTTGCTTAAGTTTTTTACGCTACACTTCACTACAGTTAGAAATTTAAATCTTTCATAGTGAGTAGCACTATACCAGCTGTCAAAAATACATTTGAAGTTGATGAATTTACAAAAAATCAATATCAGGTAAGCAGGGGGTGTACCCAAAACCGAAAAAAATATGGCAGGGCGTCTACGNATAATATATCATAGCCAAAAACAAAGCCAACTAGCATATCCACATGGGTTTAAAAGAACACCTTGGCGATCACGAGTCGCCAACAAATTTATGTGAATCATTATAACCATGCAACCGAAACATTTAGCCGTTGGAAAATTAGGATAAAAAGTTTGAATAGATTTTTGTTTTCGATTAAAGGCGACAGTGAATTAATATGTCTGCATAATAATGAAATAAAAAGAAAGTATCCGTTACATTGATCTGGAAGAGAAGAAATAAATATTTTATGTTCGTTTAAAAAGATTAAGTTTTTGATTTATTTTAAATGTAATTCTATTAATAAAAATAAGCTTAAGTAATGAAGGATATTTTAAAAAGATAGGAAATACATATGTAATGCCAAATTGTGGCATCACAATATGAAACTGAAATATTATAAACTAGCAGTTGCCCGCAGCTACGCCCGCGTACGTTTTTATTTTCTCTGTGCGTAAGGTTTTATTTTGTAACAAAAAAGTATTTTTTCACTGTAAATAGCCTAGTCTGTGTCAACTCTTTAGCTACCTAGACCTCCAACTTTATCTGCGCACAAGATCACGGAGATTTGTTGCTTAGTTTTTACGTGAAAACGTAATAAACAGATCGACAATATACTATTAAGGTTTTGTATACAAACTTATTTCCGCAATTAGAATATTAGTAATGGAGTACAAGTTTTATAGTGCACTATTTTATTCCATTTACATATTAAATTAGTAATTGTTTTTTGAATTTAATTAATAAATGTATAGAATTAACATGTGCTTTTTTTGCTTAAGTTTTTTACGCTACACTTCACTACAGTTAGAAATTTAAATCTTTCATAGTGAGTAGCACTATACCAGTTGTCAAAAATACATTTGAAGTTGATGAATTTACAAAAAATCAATATCAGGTAAGCAGGGGGTGTACCCAAAACCGAAAAAAATATGGCAGGGCGTCTACGAGACAAAAAAGTTCAGGTACCACTGGGCTTATAGGAACCACACACACACACGAGTTGGCGATTGTTTTACCATTGTTGTTGTCAACACGAACATTGGTTCCAGTAACCAACAAGTACGAATGTCAATTTCACGATGTATTATCAAAACATGCAGAAATCTAACAGTATATCGCGATATTTTTTAAATTTAATTAATTTTTATTATACACTGGTCAATCTCTACGTTGCCCAAATGAAATTTATCAACACTCAAAATAATATCTTATTTAATAATTATATTTTAAAGTATAGTTTACGATATTATCGTTTTGATTCGTTATAGTACCGATAATGATCGCGATATTGCTGTGATAAGTGATTTGTAGGCTGTGATCAGCGTGTAAACTAGTATCTTGGCCTCATGATCGATTAACTTACATACTCATGTGACCTAAGCTTTAACTATAGATAACTACACTTAAATCAGTGTTAATTTGTAACTAACAGACTAAAACTAACTGACTATGAAGAGAAAAAAAAACAAAAAAAAACACTTCCCTTATTTATTTCAAACAAATTAGTATAACTTAAAAGTATTTTTTATTTTATTTTATAACCGTCGTTGAACAGCCGACCCAAATTTTTGAGTTTATGATTGCTAATGTTCAATTCCGTAGTCTTGTAATTTTAGATCCAATCCAGATTACAAGAGAACTCCTGGATAAAGTATTTGGTGAAATTTGCCTTCGTGGAGGATAACCCCCGCAAATGCATTACAGGAAGAGGTAAACCACAAAAACCTCCCCCAAGGTTAGCCTGACCGCAAGGGCACTCTAACTCACGATCCGTCTACCACTGAGGATATTTAACATAAGCACTGTGGTCGGTGCGAGCCGGGTGCGGAATTCGTATCCCCAGCCATTGCTGGGAGTTGAACCCGATTCACCTCATTAGAAGAGCGCTCTTTCCTCTGAGCCACCACGGCCCTAAAAGAAGTATAATATTTCAATTAAAAAATAAAAATATAGTAAAAATTATCATTTTACTGTTGATAAGATGTTAAAAGTGCGCTCCCCACAATTAGCCTTGCTGCATTTGCAAACTGATAAATTCGATACGATGCAAGCTTAATTCATTAAATTTGGTAATAAGTTTTAAGTATTTTAATTATTTTCAATAATTACCTATTTCAATTATTACATCAATTATTACATTACAAAAAGATTTGATTGAACCAAATTCGGGAAAATCAAATTTATGAAGTATTTAAATTTAAAATAGATTATGGATTTAATTTCCAATATTTTTTGGTTTTAATTTTGCTTTATAATACATTCACTAAAGAACAAAGTATTTAATAATCAGCAAGAATTTAAAAATATTTAATTAAAGTAAATTATGAAATTTAAATAAAAACTCGATGAAAAAAATATAATAAATATGCATTAGGTTTTAATTGTCACCATCATAATTATACACTTAAAAAAACACAAATTATGGCGTCAGTTGCCAAGTATTCCCTTTTATTGTCATTAAACGAGAATAAAAAAACATTAAAATAGAGTTTAAAATGATAATTACAAAAAATGAAGTAAAAAAAATATCAACGATGAAGTGATAAAATATTTAAAAGAAAAAGAACTTGGCTATAAGTATAGCAGATAAATTAAGAATGATGAGAGTTTGTTGCTCTAAAATTTGAGATGTTTTCTAATCCCAACAGAGCAAGAGAAACATTTTTATTATTATTATGATGTACAAATTAGCTGTGAGGAGAAAACGAGATAAAAAAAATAGAGAATTTTGATAACTTATCAGGTGATTAAGAACTATTAAATGTTATTTTTAGAAATACTTTTATTCACTTTTCTTTTTAATTGTTAACTCCTAATGCAAGGTTTAACTGCAAAGCGGCACTAGAAAATACATCGCGTCACGTGATATTCTTAACCCATAAAAATCGTACAAAATCCATCGATGGAGTAAAATAGCTCATAACATGCGTATTTATTCGTTTCCTGCAAAAAATGCGTTTCATCGCCCTGTTTCATATTTATCAATACCAGTTTTCCACGTGTTGTTGCACTGTTTCAGAGGGTAAAACTAAATGGTATAAACATAACAGTGCTAAAAAAACAAAACAAAAACTATGGAACACTTGAATAACTTCTGATCGGAGTCTTCAGGTATAGTGCGCAGCTTTGAGAACTCCTCCAGACTAAAAGTCTGGGACTGTCTGCTGCTATGGTAACAACCTAGGGCTCATTTCTAATGGGGGTGCAATGGAGGAATGAATGTGTTGATTGGTTCCCTCATGCTGTCTGATGCGAAGATCAAGACAAAACTATTCATCCCACACCCCTATTCGAAGTGATTTTTAATCGTAACTATGGTACCCGCCACGACGCGAGACATATGTCGGGAGGAGTTCTCCTGAAAGCCGCACTATACTAAGCCTTAATGTTATTGGTTTGAGGGCTTAACCTTAAATAAGCTAATTAATTAATGCACACGATATTTTAAGCTATGAAACTAGACACAAAAGCATATTTTATCTGAATAAACATAACTTTATTTCGACTGCTTTGAATTCTTGACCCTCAAATTATGGAGGGTATCCGCAATGTCGAAAGTATGGTCTCAATAGTTTGGTCAGGAAGGAGAGTGGACGAAAGTTAAGGCTTCTATGGATAGTTTTTTTTCCCTCTTCAGTCTTTATATTTTTAAAAATTTCGATATAAATATCTGGCAACATTCATTCTCTCTCTTATTTGTTTTTATTACATTTGACACTAAGTCAAGAGCGAGCTTATAAAACATACAAGGAAAAAAAAAACCGTATGTGAAAAAAGTGGTATTACACATTAGTTTATACTAAGTGGATATTTGTTTCTATTGCTTACCACTTAAGCTTCAAAAGAGCAAAGAGGGGGAAGGGAGGGCACTTCAGATCCAAATATGAATACTTAAATTGTTAATATATTATGGGAGACAGAACTAGCATGCTTCAGCATAATAAATGCTAAGCATGAAATATATATGCTACTTTATTTTGTATTTTTGAAAAAAGATAAAAGGAAGCTAATGTGGATACTAGAATTCAATGAGGATTTTAAAATCCTAATAAATGGATCACAGTGGATTTATACAATTCTATAGAGAGAAAAAAGCCATAAATTTTGCTTGTTTGTCTTATCCTGTTATTCATAAGGAAGTTTCGGATAGTTAAAGTCCACTTGAGTCAAGTCAATATTCCGGATACACATTGATTCCGGTTGAATTAAGTCATTATTCACTCAGATCCTATGAGTATCCAGAATATAAGTCATATCTAAGTTGTTGTGGTATCCAGAAAAATATTTTCCTCATCGTTACTTCTCATAACCAAAGTTGAAGATAACGCTTACGGTATATCACAACGTTCCTTTATTTTAGTCTCGTTGTTCAATTGTTCTCTCGTAACTAGGATACATGAAAATTTAGTTACACTGGGTACCAAAACAACTGTCTACGGTCGAACTTGGAATTTTAGACTAATCCATCGTAAGGAAAAATGTCTCAAAATGTTATTGGAAAGGTAATAAATCGGATCATACTTTCATTTCTGTTTTATATCGTCCTCACTTATCGAGTTACCGTTTTTGCATTATGTGTATCACTGATTTGCCTTCAAAGAAACAAACCTAATCCCAATAATTCACTTCATTAAGAGTTAATCTAGGCAGATTGGTAAAAGGTATGGTACTTACACGTGATTTCATCTTGTTGCATATCTGTTAAATGTGCGTGAGAACAGGTCTCTTTCCCACCTTTCGATAATGTTGGTAGGTTGTGACAGTCAGGAAGTCGGAAGTGTCCACGAGATTTGAAAAATATGCCTCGTTGCTTGTTGTCTTCGGCGAGAGCCCACTCATTTAAACAAAAAAGCTCTTTGATTGCTATGCAATCTTCCCGGCATAGAGGTTTTAGGCGAGCCACCCCGTCTGCCCATTCACACCTGGGAAAGGCATACAGGCACAGAATCACTTCAGCAGCACTCCTGCAAAAGTTTAAAAAAAAATTTAATAATCATACATTTGTGAAGATCAAATATTCAAAATCAAAATATAAATACCACAAAATAACGTGTAAGGTATAAATATGAAAAAAAACATGGTTGTTTCGGTACTAAAGTAAAGCAAATTGTTACAGTTAATCCTTACTGGTTAGTCATTTGGCTAAACTGGACTCATGAGATTAAACAATCAACTGACAAAAAATCCATCCTGACAAAAATTCCATAACAAGAAAGGGCTTTCGAAGTAAATCAACAATTCATGCAATTCGATGCCAATTTCGAACAAACAAGGAGGGTGTTTAGGGGTGAACTGGCGGTGGTTGTACTGCTCATTGCAGTAAAACCACAAAAGAACTAATTCGAGATTAAGCTCCTCTAAACTGAATCCTAAAAACAAGATCGTTATCATTGCAGAGTTCTTTTTTATGTTTTGAATAGAATTAACCATAAATGTGATTAAGTCATTTGAGTTCAAATGTTCGACGCATCTGCTACATGGCCTTCTAATCTGTTATCAAGTTGCTTACACACACTTTGCAGTCTCATACTGCCAATGGTTGCCAATTTCTTCATTGGAGGTTCATAAACAGTGTCTTAGGCACCGTGTGACAGTGATTTATTCTTAACCATATAATAGTTAACAAGATTTTCGATGCATCTGATTAGAACATTCACAACTGAAAAAAAAAACTTAACATAATTTTCTATAACCGATTTACCGTTGTACCCACTAGTATAAAACAAATTGTATGTGTTCCCTCTCAAAGAAAAAAACGTTTTTGAGCATTAGCTACACTTCTTTCCTGACTGTGATAGACCAGGTCTATTCATACGAGAACGATTTTTACACTAAATTATGTGACCGCACTCTGTGTTTTTTTTAAATTGAGGTCTGCTATCTAATATTGGTTGTGCATGCAAAAGTTAGAAAGTTAGCCAAGTTTTGCAAAATGTGAAATGGAATAACGAATTTTTTTCTCATTCCTTTCCAATGCTAAGGATTATGAACGAAAACTGAAAATGGTAAGTGAACAAGCTTACCTGCAGGGTTCGAATAATGATGTTACAAGTTCATTCCACAAAGCGTCTGCTATCTGTTCATTCAAAGGAATGATATGATTTTCACTTGTAAAGTTGTAATACACATGTCCAGAGCCATTCAAGTACTTCCTACACACTTGGCCAGTATAAGGAGCACAGTATCCAAGTATCTCCCCAGTACCTCCACCTAAAGGGCCATCTTCTTTCGGATTCTCAGAACCACTCCCATCTGCGTCCTCTGAGGGCCTTTTATCTTCCAAGGATTTGTTTTCTTCCTCAAACACTTCAATTTCGTTGGTTAGAGGACCTTCGTCTTCAGTGATGTCCTCCTCCTCTTCAGATCCAAGAACATCAGTAAGGAAGTTGTCTTCCTCCCAAAAATCTTCTTCTGAAATGACAGTTTTCGAGATTAATAGGATTACAATCTATAGCAGAAGAAGAGCAGTTTTAATTTTTTTGAAACATAAATTGTATTGAAAAGTCAATTTATCGGATGGTGTTACAATACAATGTAAACACAAAGAAAGATAGAACTTTAATTATCACTACTTGCGGTTTAGAACGTTGACAACAGCTTACATCTAATTTGCGCTTATTACAGCTTAAATGCCAACATCGCATTTTATATGCAAAGCGACATTTTCAAACAGCTAACTTCGTTTTCAGTTATAGAAATAGGCAATGTAAAGTATGAGCCTTTTTTTTTCATTTCATAATATGTTATCGATTAATTCTGAAGAATTTGAAGCCAAAATTTGTTTTAGTTATTTATAAATACTTAATTAAAAAAAGAGACATGATTGCTAGATTAGAAAAAAAAATCGTGCATTTGACAACTTTGATTTAATACTTTTGACTTGTTTAGTTGCGGGTGACCTGGCGGGTGATACGACAAGACATGGAAACTTAGTTCTGATATATAACCAAATGCTTTTTTTTTTCGAAATATTTGTTCATATTAATTTTAATTATAAAACCGAATTTTGGTTTATGTTTTGTTTTCGCTTTTTTTTTTTACATTCTGTTTCCAGTTTCTCAGTTCATGACACAGTAATCTAAACGTCGAAAAAAAATAGAAAAGAAACAGCAACCACAGCGCTATTTAGTGCAGGAAACACCATCCACGTGCTGAGATAAAAATTTAAAGGTTAGTTCTGTTAACTTACCATCTCTTGGAGTTACATATATTTGGAAGTGCTTGACATCACTAACTACAGATGAGTTGAGGCTCTGGAGGGAATTGGTTGCTTTGCACGTGAAGCTCATAGTTTGGGTTGCATTCACAGTCAATTCTGAATGAGTAAATACTGGATCCTCCAAGATATATTCGTCCAACTGAAAATAAAAAATCATTCATTCAAGTTGATCAGGGTGCGTAGCCAAATCTTTCAACAAAAAAGCACCTTTTAGGTACTTTTTAAGCACTCAAAAATATTTTTAAGCACTATATACATAAACAAAATGCAAAATAATTTTCAAAGAATTTACATGATCATGATAAAATAACTAGTTTTTGACAAAGAACTTTTTTTCTTGATTATATTAGCCATTAAAAAATGACCAAGAGGTTTTTCGGTTTGATTTCAGATGGTGGGAAATGAAGCTTAAAATTGAGAATATCTTGCAAAATGCTGCAGAGTTGCACATGAAAGTGCAATAATCTCAACGAACCCAGCTCACTACACACACATGCGTAATCAAACCTGAGAAGTGATCGACGCATCTCAATTACAATATTTCAATGGTTGGTTGTGTTCGATTGATTGAATGTAGAGTTTAATGGCACAAGATCCAAATGTGGACATGTTGCGCCAAACACATATCAAAAATTAAAGTGCATACTTACTTATTTTCCATAAATAACATTAAACATTGATAAAATCATATAGAAACAATCAACGGTAACAATATTTCAATGAGCTTTATTTTAGACGCTGTTATAAAAAAAATACAAAAATAGGACGATTTTGGACAATAACTTGAAAAGTTATATTTTAGTCCTGTAAGGAAAAATTACAAAATCGGAGCTACTTTTGACAATAGTTGTAAGATTGTACATAAAATAAAACTATCAAATTTTAGCGATACTATATTTCCATTAAAGATTCTCAAGAATAAATTTTAAAAAAAATATCAATCCTATGCACAATTTAAAGAAAAACTACCACAAGAAACTCCACCATCCAAAAAATCTTAAAAACTTTTCCCTTTTCCTAATCAGATTGGCTTCGCACATTGTGCAGATACAGATACAGTTGCAGTTATTTGCATTTGAAAATGTGCTACCGAGCCAGACTCATTTGCACGATTGCTTAGCATTTCCAGGATAAGATATTTTTTTGAAGTGAAGTGAACTCATCATCGATTCTTAGATTTAAAACCAGATATTCCGGGACTAGAAGCAAGAAAATTTGCATCATAAAGATTTGGTTGGGTGGAGTCAGTCTTGTCTAGTACCGTACTATTTCTTCGGTCCTGAATTACACGCCCACGAATAAGGTAGAAATGATTTCCGGCCTGTCTTTTTTTATCGCTTGTTTTCGAGAATGTTCTGTGATCAAAAGACCATAATAAATATCAGATTATTTTTACACTCACGCCATTATGGAAATTTGAATTCAGTTCATGCTTCGTGAAGTTATCTTTACAAATTTATATTGTACCCGGGCACGGAAAATACATTTTTTTCTGAATAGCCTTCTTAACACTAAATTCAAAAATAAAGAGAAAAGCATTGAGAATTTAATATTTGATTTTTATCTGAATGCAAACACTGCTTAGTATTCATATTTAAAATGTGAAAAAAATGAAAGTTTATAGAATCAATCTAGTTAAAATATCTTTGTTCCGCATTTTTTGGAGGAACGGAAAGGGGTATTTTTTTTACCCGTTCATTAGCATATAAAAAAAGGCACCTTCTTTGAAAACCTAGTTTTGATAGAAGGTGTTACAAAATTTATGCATTAAGCAATTATGCATTAAGCAATTATGTATAAATTTTGACTTAATTATGCATAAAATGACTTGTTTTTACAAGTTAATAATTTCATTTCGATCCAATTTTGGGTTTACCACTACTAATGTTCAACTCCGTAGCCTTGTAATTTTAAAGCCAGAAGACAAGGGAACTCTTTGATCAAGTATTGGGAGAAATTTGCCTTTGTGGAGGACGCTTTGATGGAACTAACCCGCATTTGCGTTACACGGAGAAGAAAACCACGTGAACCTCCCACGGTTAGCCTGGCGGCAAGGGGACTCTAACAAATGATCCGTCTACCACTGAGGATATTTTATGTCAGCACTGTGGTCGGTGCGAGCCGACCAGCCATCGCTGGGATTTGAACCCGGTTCACCTCATTGGAAGGTGAACACTTTATTCCCTGATATACCACGGAACTCAATTAAATAATTGCGATTTTTTTTTATTCTTTCACAGTGTTGGGTTATATATTGTTCAGTATATCGGCTAATTAGAGAAAAGAATTAACAGCCACTCGCGAACTGTTTTTCGAAATTTTTTTGCTAGCAAAATTTCGTGGGTAGGTCATTCAATTTCATTCCTCAAAGCGTGATCGCGGGATTATCAGCACTAAACCTTTGACTGAAAAAAAAAAATGAAATAAAATAACAGTGTTAGATAGCATGAATTACGCAATCATGGGCATGAATTGATCAATTACGCAATCATGGGGATGAATTACGCAATCATGTGCATGATTTGGGCATGAAATACGCAATCAGAAAATGACAAAAAACAAAAACGCATTGCATTTTGTGTAGCGATCCACTTTAACACTAAAGCAACAGCAGTCACTCTTTTTTTCAGCTGGCGTTATTTTATTTAAGAGGGGCTAGACTCAAATTTTGCGTGAATCATTTTACAAGAACTTCCCACGGTTAGCCTGACCTTAAGGGGACTCTAACCCATGATCCGTCTACCACAGAGGATATTCCAAGTCAGCACTGTGGTCGGCGCAAGCCGGATGCGGAATTCGTATCGACTGGGATTCGAACCCGGTTCCATGCTTTGGAAGACTAACGCTCTATCCCCTGAGTGTTGAAATCATTAAATGAGTTCAATCCCTTCTTCCCAGACATAAAAATCTATCCAATCAATTAAAAAAACGTAAGAAGGAAAAAAGCCGAGTGTTTGCAGCCTTTTGCTTAGGAAACTAGAATTTTATTCCCCGTTTTCAGTTACAAAGCTCAGCAAATGCTGCTGCTAACTTTAAAAAGAAAAAAAAAAACCCTTTAAAGTAAAGTACTTCTGCATGTTAAACCATTCCACCTGAGAATATTTGTTCAAGTGAAGTCATATTTCGTGACTGCCAAACACCTAAGTGTAGAATTATACTCATAAATGTGCTCATGCATGTGTGACTGAGCATAAACACCGAGAGTTCTTATTGGCTACGATTTGAACGCCGATTGAAAACGAAGCAGCACATAGAATCCCAACAAATCACGCTTTTTGAACTGTCGATGTCACTTTGCAAAGGTTTACCGCCAGGAGTTCCCTTGTTTTCTGGAATGGGTTCAAAATTCAATTGTCGTTAACCCACAATCGGGTCGGTTGTCCAACGGCCGTTATAAAAGGAAATAAAATAAGCCTAACAAATGACGTAATGAAATGAATTTGCTTAGCTTTCCATACCCATGAATTTTGTCACATCTATACGATTGGATATCCGACATAGCCATTTAACTGTATTTTTAATCTTTTAGTACTTGGTTTAACTCCCAGTAGATTTAAACGTGCATTAACTATAGTTCGCGATACAGAAATAAGTTTTGAAGTGAAAATACATTTGACATGTTTTAAAGCCAAATCAAATCCCAAACAGAAAGGATACAAAACAGGAGCTGGTTCAAAACCTAGATTCGTTTCAGTCATTGAATTCAGAAGCTGTCATAGTATCATAAGTTTAGATGGCGGCAGTTTTAATGGGGTATAGGTTAGAGTCGAGCTTTCAGGAGAGTCCAGAGTCGGAGTCAAACATTTCAACTACCCACTCTGTGGCTCTAGTTTTAATGATTTTTCAATTAAAACTTATTGAAATTCCAAATCTTCAGCTGATTTTATTCATATTTAACACATAAATCTTTTTTTTCAGATGCAAAAATACAGAGTTTGTAAAATGCGATTTTTTACAACGTTTTTATACATAAATTTTCTTGACCCTTGAAAATTATAATAGCAAATGTATTCCACAGTTCTGTTACGATGTATTAAATGTAGAATATTTCTCTCCATCATTCAAAGCAATCGAAACCTTGTGAGGGGGTGAAAACAAAAAAGGAGATTTACGGCAGTATGCAAAATACATTGATCGAAAAAAATAAATTTGTCTCCTTGCCATCAAAAATGAAGATATAAATAGAAACAACAAAAACATATTTTCTCTTCAAAAAAATAAATAAAAACAAATTTTTCAAAGATTGTATTTTTACCTGCCATATTTTGGAATCGCGACTACTTTTCCTGCAAACCAATTTGTAAATCCATTTATTTTACATCATCATTTCTTCTCGAAGGGAAAAGTATAATGCTTTGTATGGAACGAAAATCAAAACAAATTCCGGTGCCCTCGATCCCCCTTTTTTTTTATGCATTTTCCATCCGACAATTTCGTTTCATCTTTTTTCACTCTTGGTTAGTCAAATGAAAATATATATATATAAAAAAAAGAGAAATTTCTTTTATTTTTTTATATCGGGCAATTTGGCGGTGGAATGTTCGGAAGTGTAACAGCTTCTTGGCGAGACCATTCCCAAGCATTGACTTTTCAATTATTTCTTTCCCGCTATTTGACAAGTAGCCCTCCTTTTTATCGCAAAACAAAAACAAATTCCTCATCTAGGCTAAGGAAAAAAAAGGCCCCTTTTTTCTTTAGATGTAATGGGAATAGTTAAAGAAGTTTTGGCGAAGTAGTTTTGGCGATGCTTACCCAATTGCGTGCCTTGTGGTTTATGGAGCCAATTGTTTCCTATTTATTATTATTTTTTTTTTGGCCTCATCCCTTCCCTGGATGGAAATGTTATTTTTGATGACCATAGCAGATGTTTTTTTATCTAATGCGAAGATGTTGAATTGTGTCAGCTTGGGGGTAATGGACATGTTTTTATGAAGCTGCCTCTTTTGTTACTGAGGTGTTAGCGTTTCTTGGACGGAAAACTATTTCTCCAGACTTCATTACGTTTCTGAAATATGAAGTTTTTATCTCTATCCCCCCTCTCCTTCCTCCTTCTATTCCTTTTGAAAGGAGTTTATAAATTCTTTATCGTATTTGGTTCCGCACGAAAGAATGTTATTGCCACTTTAATAAAAGCTATTA